GTCATAGATTGGAAAGAGAATTAAGTAGCCACATAAAGAGTGGCCACCCACCCAACTGGGATCACAGGGCCTCCTGTGCCAGACTGAGGGGGGCCAGGAAGATCCCCACATAGAATGGCCGGCCACAGCTCCCCCACATACTGTACCAGATTGCTTTGTCTCCGTGTTCCCAGCTAGTGACCTGGACAAACCTCTCCTTGTGCTTATCTAACAAGCAACCCCAGTTACAACCATCTCCATCCTTCCCTTTACTCATTGTTCTAGTCTCTTTGCACACACACACACACACACACACACACACACACACACACACACACGGATTATGTTGCTTCCTGGTGGAGACTGCCTCCACTTACCCTGGGCCTCCTACGGGGTTTCCCCAGCACTCCCCCAGCACAGGGAGCTGTGGGCACCCTTTGCCTGGGCACCTCTGGGCTCTTCTGACAAGGTTCTGTCAGATAGGTGGCTCAGGGTAGCTTCTGCTGGCCAGCCCCAATACCCTTTTCTGATTGGTCCCAAGGCAGGATACCAACCTTACAAAGGCTGCCTGGGCACTGGACAGCTAAGTCAAGAACAGGACATCTGGGTCTCATCTCTCACCAGCCCTTCCCACCACAGCCTCCAAGACCTACTCCCCGAAAATGACAACACACAACCACACACAGCCCAGGAGGAAGTGTTCAGTAACTCGGCTGCATGCATGCCCCAGCTCACCCTCAGAAAGAGCTTCCTGAACTCAGAGGGGGAGGCCCCAGGAGACTCGGACCCAAGTTGATACTTTAGCAAACTAGACTGTGACTCATCAGTGGACCAGAAAATCTATTTGACCATAACTGGCATTTTAAAAAGAAAAATTATCCAAGTGTGTCACATATATGGAGAGGAGGTTTTATTGCCTGAAATGTGTGTATTGGTTTTGTGTTTATGTATGTGTGTTGTACGCTGAGTCATGAAGCATTTGTTTTATTTATTCTTGGAGTTAGGGACCAAGTCCAGAGCCCCGCCCATGCTAAGCCACACCCCCAGGCATCAAGATTCGGTTCTTTATGTGGGTCACAGTCAAGCAACCCTTATGCTCATCCTCCCACAGTGAACCCTGAAGAAAGCTAGAATTGAGTCACAATAAGCTCGGAAGGAGTCAAATTCCAGAAGAGCTGACAAAAAATAGAACTAAATATTTTCGGATCCTTTTAGTGCTGGGAATTGAACCCAGGGCCTTGCGCATGCTAAGCAAGCATTTTACCACTGAGCGAAGACTGACTCGGGCCTTTTGAAGGCCCGGTCCTGAGGGGCCTTTTCCTGAGTGTGCTGATGTGAGAGCCGTGTTAGAAGGGCTACGAGCCCCTGTGTGCACCACTCTTTCCACAGTGAGCCAACAACCCCTTTGTTTTGTTTTTTGTGTTTGTGTGGAAGAGCTGAGAACCGAACCACGGCTCTGAATGTGCTAAGCCTGGGCTCCACACAGAGCTACTCCTCGACTGAACAAACTTTTCATAAGGCATTTGGAATCACGCAGAAAGGAAAACCAGAACCTTTCACTGTATTTTTACATTTCAGGACATTGCCTTTTCTTAGGGAGGGACACACATGTTCCACAGTGCTTATGCAGAGGTCAGAGGTCAACTTTTAGGAGTTAGTTCTCTCCTTCCACCTTGTGGGTCTTGAGGATTGAAGTCAGGTTGTCAGGCTTGGCAGCAAGTACTTTCACTCTCTGTGTACCCCTAGCTGTCCTGGAACTCACTCTGTAGACCAGGCTGGCCTTGAACTCACAGAGACCCGCCTGCCTCTGCCTCCCCAGTGCTGGGATTAAAGGCATGCGCCACCACTGCCTAGCTAATGTTCTTATTTTTATTAGAATTCTATGCATATCTACTCACTGTATGTTCTATTTATATGACATTCCACAAAATGACTAAATTTTAGTGAAAGAAAACATTAGCAATTGCCTAGGACTAAAGCTTTAGAGAATTTAATGATAAAAAGGCAGAAGAATTGTAAGACATTAGAATTGCTCTTTTTTGTTTGTTTGTTTGTTTGTTTGTTTTTTAGACAGGGGTTTTTCTACATAGCCCTGGCTGCCCTGAAACTCTTCATGTAGACCAGGCTAACCTCAAATTCATGGAGATCTGCCTGCTTCTGCTTCCAGAGTGCAGGAACTAAAGGTGTGCTCCCCTGCTGATTAGGAGTTTTTTTAAAAACATTAACAAAGATTGAAGTAGGAATATTGCCACAAGTTTGAGGCCAGCCGAGGTTACAGACTGAAACCCTAGCTCAAGAGCAAAACATAACATCAAAATAAAATGAAAAACCTTAACACACAATGTTATGGACTCTTCGGGGTAAACCTCTCTCGTCTGTTCTGGGTTGCTTTCTGCACTGGTCCAACTTGGAGGGAATACAACATGATAATACATAGGGAAAGCCTGGGATACAAACAGAGACAATATTTCAGAAAAGAAAGTGAAGCCCAAGCCAAACCTGGGTGATTGGTGGCTCATATATGGAGCTCCAGTCCCTTCGGAAGCTGGAGTAGGACCTCGTATGTG